CCCGAGCGGCCACTTTAGTTTTCCCATTCTGACATGTCTGCCGTTTCGTCGGGCGGGTGGAGCGCGCCGTCGACAACACAGGCGAAATTAAGCTGCCGGGCCACGCGCGGGTCCTACAGGTCCCAGTCGACGCCCGACTCGTAGCCGAGGTCGTCGACGAGGTGCGCGTTGATGCGCGAGAAGCACTTGCTGCCCGTGAAGGGCGCGTCGGTCTTCGTGTTCGACAGCGGCGACGGGTGCGAGCTCACGATGACCTTGTGCTTCCGGCGGTCGATGTTCGCGCACTTGGCGAGCGCGGGCTTGCCCCAGAGCACGAAGACGGCGCCCTTGCCCGGCCGCCGGTTGACGCACTTGACGACGGCGTCCGTGAAGGTCTCCCAGCCCTTCTTCTGGTGGCTGTTCGCCTCGCCCCGGCGCACCGTGAGCGACGTGTTGAGCAGCAGCACGCCGCGCGCCGCCCACTTGGAGAGGTCGCCCGTGCCCGCGGGCGGCGGCGCCGCGCCGACGTCCTCGCCGCACTCCTTGAGGATGTTGCGCAGCGACGGCGGGAACTTGCAGTCCGCGCCGTCCTTGATCGAGAACGCGAGGCCGTGCGCCTGGCCGGGGCCGTGGTACGGGTCCTGGCCGACGACGACGACCTTGATGCCGCTCAGCGGGCAGGCGTCCAGGGCCGCGAAGGTGTGCTCCGGCGGCGGGAACACCGTCTTCGCGCGCCGCTCCTTGGCCACGAACTCCGCGAGCGCGAAGAGGTAGCTCTTGCTCGCCTCGCCGGCGAGCGCCGCGCGCCACTCGTCGTCGGCGATGGGCTCGAGGAACTTGAGCGCGCGTTTCTTCTGGGCCTCCTTCTTGTTCGCCAGGATCTTCGCCTTCGCCGTCGCGTCCGTGGCCGTCGCGTCGTCGGCCTTGGCGGCGGCTGGCGTGGATGCGGCGGCGCTCGCCGGCTTCTGCTTCTTCGGCTTCGGCGCGAAGAAGTCCTTCATTGTCGTCGACTGCTTCGCCGCTGCGGCCTTCTTGGCCGGCGCCATGATTGGTATTTGCGTTGGCGCGCGGCCCTGTGTATTTGCGTTGGCGCGCAGCCTCGAGCTCCTGAGCTGGCTCGGGGAGACGCTCTCGAGCTCGTTGGCCGGTTTCAAACTTTCCAAGGAGCGTCGTCCGGGCGCGGAGCTCGAGCCAATGCAGAAGGGGCCCCACGGACGCCCTGCGACCTCCGCGACCCGGCGCGACCCGGCGGGACGCGGGGTTTCTGCGACCTGCGACCTGCGGCGACCTGCGGGACGCGGCCGGGACGGAGCCGGGACGCGCGGAGGACTCCCGGAGGACGCGCCGACCTGCGGCGACCTGCGGGACGGCGACCTGCGGGACGAAGCGGGACCGGGGCAGGACCGAGGCAGGACTGAGCGGGACTGAGCGGGACGCGGAGAGGACGCCGCCGGGACGTGCCGGGACGGAGCCGGGACGGAGCCGGCG